CCTGCTGTTCTTGACACACTTAGCTGTGACGTTGGCCCAGCTGTACTCGTGCATCAAAACGCTAAAAACTGACAGTGTTCTTCTCGCCCCCAGGTACCAGGATTATTTATGACCGTAAGTTTTTGATGGAGTGCCGTAATTCTCCAGTTGCCAAAACACCACCTTCCGACCTTCCGGACATTCCAGGTGTTACCAGCCCAAATGTGGAGGAGTTGAAGATTGAGAACAACCATGTCCAAAACAGTGATGAGAAAGTGAGCGCAGGTGAGTGCACCCGAAGATCTCGCCCCCAGGTACCAGGATTATTTATGACCGTAAGTTTTTGATGGAGTGCCGTAATTCTCCAGTTGCCAAAACACCACCTTCCGACCTTCCGGACATTCCAGGTGTTACCAGCCCAAATGTGGAGGAGTTGAAGATTGAGAACAACCATGTCCAAAACAGTGATGAGAAAGTGAGCGCAGGTGAGTGCACCCGAAGAACCACAAGTTCACTCACTGGGTTTGGGAAACTTTGCTGTTTCCTAGAAATACAGAAGTTTGCACATGGACTGGAGCTAGGAGATCCTGATAAGCTGCAATCAATAGTCTGGTAGCCTCTTGCAAAATCAAAGTGTGCTTGATGTCACTAGGTGATCAGGGTCTTGTGGGTTCTGCTGTGGTCTGCAGTAATGTGACTTCTTGATTAGTTGAATGTAATTTGTTACAATCACTTAATTCTCATTAATTTAGCATTTGGGAAACTTGCCACATTAATAGTCCTGTGGTGAGAGAATGGGTGCAGCTGTTGCTGCCTCTCTCCATGCTGGACCATTTTGCAGCTGCTTTGCGTTTTTGAAAAATGCGAAGATCAGATTACAGTTCAGAGTAGGATTTGTTTGGGGTTTTTAATATCAGCCTGATTTGCAATTCCTCCTGCCTTTTTTTGATACTGAGGCTTCCAGCGTACAAGTGAGCTCTGCTGATGTGGCTGGATGTGATACCTGAGCTGTGTGTGCTGATTCTCCAATGTCTGTTGCTGT